AGGAAAGGGGGCATAAAGAGGGGGAGAGACATGTGGGGAAGGACTACAGCTCGAATTCGAACCTGGGTCGCCCGCGTCGAGGACCAAGGCCTCCATAAATTTTTTTGTGCGTGCCGACCATATTTTGACATTTATTTGCCACATTAAAGCTGCTGAACCAATGAATAGACTGGGATGAACTCCTGCAGAGCTGAAATAAAAAGCTGATAAAGCCCCATATTTCAGTAGAAGCTCTTACTGCTGGGAGCCAATAAGCTAACGGGAGCTAGCATTCTTCTTCCTCTCTACTCCAGGGGCTATATGTAGCGCGCCCCCTACAGGTTTGGTGGGAGACAGTTCAGTAGAAATCAGCGGCTTATAGCCTGGTGTGGCTTACATAATAGCTTTCCATTTTTTCCCCCAAAAAATGCAGTGGGTGTGGCTTATAGTGAGGTGCACTCAATATTTCGGAAAATACGGTACTTTTGATAAGTAGCAGAGGACAGCGATAGTGATGGATGTGGCCATCCCAGATGATGGAAACATCAGGAATAAAGAACATAAGAAAGTAGAAAAATACCAACGGCCTCAGTGAAGAACGAAACCCCTCTCCCAGTGGAAAAAAAAAAAACTGTTTAAACCCAGGAACAATCAACTTTTAGTAGAAGTGGGAAAAGCTCACTTACGAAAGTCTACCTGGCTCAAATGACTCGGCAAGCGACACGCGTTAAAACCGCCTTGTCTCTGATCTGCATGATGAGGGAACAACAGAGCCGGGTTGACCCGCTTAATTACCGTAATGATACCATTTAAACCAACGTATGGACGTCAACACACGGTGCCAATCTCTTCTGAACTAACAAGCAGAAACAACTCTGCTTTTCGATAAACATGGTGCAGGTTCACTAGCCGATTCGTACGCGAAGAAAGATCTGTACCATTAGCTCCTTTGCACAAATGCATCAGATATTCATCCAGGTCGCAAGAAATAATATAATTATGGTTCCAAAAGTACTTATTTCTCTCCATAAATCACTAAGCAATGCTAATACACATGCTGATGCTTTTTACATTTTTTCCGATAAACTGCTTACCTGAAGTCATTATCGGACATGCTCAGAGCAGTCCAGCAAGATATCATTAAACCATCTGCATTTTAGATCCTTCTTTCTTTAGATCAGCACTATGTACCATAAGGTTAAAAAATTTATGTTTTAATCCAAAGCTAAAAAAAGTTAGCTCCCGGAAGTAGCATATAATCCCATTTCCGGGACAGATTGGGCACAGACGAGTGATAAAACAGAATTTAAATGCATTTATTTTCTCAGAAATACATTATTAACCTTTAACACATTGTAGTTTAGTACACTTACTAGTTTTAGGGAGGGAAAAGGGTGATCTAGGTCTTTTTTTAAACAGTAAAATCGAGGGCAACCCAGATGCATGTCTGGTTGCAGGAATGAGCTGATGGTAAGGATTGTTCTACCAGTACGGATCGGGTACTGACAGCCAGCATCAGTGAGAGGATTCACACAGATAATGGAGCGAAACAATAAAGCACACGGACTACACCCTGGCTTCCTTACATGTTACTTTCCATTGTTTACTTTCCTGATTTCTGTCGCATTCAGTGATGGGAGTAACGGCGTTACGTCGAGCTGCGTTTCCCCATCAGATACGGTTTCCCCTGCATCTCAGCACAGCACGGCGGTTTAAGTCAGTTAAGCCGGGCATTTACCGTGTGATTTTTTGACAGGCTACTGCAGCGGTCTTCAATGTTTTCCAGGCCAAGGACCCCAAACTGATGGCAAGATGGAGCGGGGATCCCCTAATTATATATATTTTATGATATTGTGTTATACCAACTGGTATAGTCCCTCTATTACAGATGGAGTAATGTAACTAAAGTAATCCCTCTCTAGGATTATTAAAGCATTTCTGATTTCTGGTTGATGGGACAGGTGTTGTGAATGAAACGGTGCCCAGTTTGACAGAGCTCCTGTGTGTCTTGGGAGGTGAGCATTGATGACTGAAAGACATCTTCTGCCTCCATTTATC